GAACACATGATTGCACAACTACTTCTAATGATGACGTGACTGCTACTCCAACTCCATTGTTGACACACTTATGACGCGCGTGTTTTGACAAGTATGACCCGATGATCACACTCATTCACTAACAGAATTATGTGGCATTTGCTGCGACTGCTCTGGGGACACAATGATTTGATGTACACTCCAAACTCAACAGTGACAAACTGATTCCATGCAGAAGTTGACCTTCAGGCTCTCAAACTCAAGGAGTATAATGAGTTGCTCTGCATAATGTTAATAGCAGGTATAGTAATTCCCATTTTCGTGTGAAAATCTAAATCTGACATCTAGACACCAGTGCCTAGTCATGTGACCGGTGCCAAAATGATGTCATTCTGCTTTGACCATCAGAGGATTACTTTTTTTTTTCCACAGAAAATAATTTAATAAGCAGCAGTTATACCCAAAAACCATCAAAAAAAAAAAGGTTATGCTCTCTCATCGGCTGTTGCTTTAAGCCCAGCAATATGTAGGAAGGCCTGGCTCCAGCCAGTTGTGGATGACCACTTATGGGCAGAATCAGCTATTGGCTTCTTATATTTGTTTGGTGAGGTTTATGGGCAGCAGCTTGTGTCACCGCCCCTTATACAAGGCCCACCATTATCTTATAGCTACAATCCCTGATTATTTAAAGCCCATCTCTGAGCAAACCCCCCAAAAAAACACCCTTACAGTGGGGCTACCCCTGATCTGCGAGGGTTAAGTGCTTGTTTATGCCTAGTGGACCTGATCCCCGCTCCCCCAACGGTCAGCTCTCTCCTCTTCTCCCACTCCAACTGGTGGGACGTCGCTCAGCATCCCCACATCTACGGCAGGTCTATGGAACCGTGATGACGGCAGTGGTCCTTAGAAGGTGAGAAGAGGCTGTAGGGACTGGTCTAGCAGCCCAGAGAGAGCTGACGTAAGGGGATCAGGCCAGGCTTAGTGCTTTACTCTGGTCACCTAAACACAAATGAGCACTTCACCCCACTGGGTAGTTTATTTGGTTTACCGGGAGACTGGCATTAAATATTCTACATTATGAAGAATCCACCGGAGAAGGAGTTCATGCCAACTATATAGAGAATGCCACAACTGCCCTTCCAGGCTTACCACCAAATTCATTCATCCAACAACTTCTTTTTCTTTGCATGAATTTGCCCGTCTTTCATTGCAGGACATGGAGTTCATGGAGACGTTTGTGTTCGCCATAAAGTTACAAAACCTACAGAAGGTGAGGCTGGTCTTCAAGGTCCTCAGCCTGACGCCACGAAAGAGAACGATCAGCAAGTGTTCGATATCGCTGCGGGACCTCAGCGAGGTGGAGACTGACCACTGGCTGGACGTTGTCCCGTCTTCCAAAGTGTCGGTGAGCAAAATTCAGACAGCGTAAGTCCAGGCTGGGACGCCTTTCTGTTGTCTCCAATGACTTTTATAAAACATCGGTGTGGAGGTTTTATAAAGGTTTGTGGACGATGGCATGAAATCAGTCTCAAACGGTTTTATTTACTGAGCTGTTTCTGTAAAAATAGTTCTGCTGCGTCTGATGGATGCAAATAAAAACCCCTTTGTGAATGTGCCTGTGCACATGAGGATGGCTCCATGAAGCTGGAGGTTCACAATAAAGGTCACTTATTCTTTAGGCTGGGTTCACACCTAGGCGTATTGAATATGCGCGTTTGTTGCGCGTTTTTACCGCGATTCGCGATAAAAAAAAACGCGCGACAAACGCCCGTTTCCGAGGGCTACTTGGCTGTATCCCAATGGAAACGCGCAACAAAAACGCCGCAAAGAAGCTCATGTACCTTTTCAGGCGTAGGCCGTTTTGTATCGCGTTCGGACGGGCGGAAATACGGCAAGGTGTGAACCAGACCCATAGAATACAATGGGATTTAGATGTTTGAGCGTTTTGTAGAGCGTTCGTCGAGCGCGCTACAAAACGTTCAGGTGTGAACCAGGCTTAGACTCCTTTAAGGTGACATCACCACTCCCTCCCATGAACAGATGAATACTTGCAGGGTGTCCGCGGGCCTGGCCTCCACCGATTTTAACATCCTGCAGTTCCAGCAACAGTTTTATTCCCCCTTTGAGATAAAGGTTTTACATATGAAACCTTTATCCCATTGTTTTTTATGGGTATGGTTCACACTTTGCCGTATTTCAGACCGCCTGAACGCGCTACAAAACGGCCTATGCCTGAAAAGGTACATGAGCTTCTTTGCGGCGTTTTTGTCGCGCGTTTCCATTGGGATACAGCCAAGTATCCCGCGTTTGTCGCGCGTTTTTTTAACCCCGAAACGCAGTAAAAACGCGCGTCACGAAACACGCGACAAACGCGCATATTAAATACGCCTAGGTGTGAACAGAGCCTTAGACAAACCCGGTCTGATATTAGACTATCACTAGAAGTCTATCAAGAAGGCCAACCCATAGTGAAGTACTACAAAGCAGGAAGCGGAGCTGCCTCATATGCGGTTATAATTTCAAACTATATGAAGGGGTCAGAGCAATCCTTAAAGCTTAAAGAAGTAGCGAGGAAGCATGGAGCCGGCTTCCCGGCCAATCAGGAAGCTGGGAGCCGTGTAATGACGCATTGCCCGGGTCCCGATTGGCCAGCTTCTCGATCAATCAGGAAACAACGCGTCATTACTCGGCGCCCGGCTTCCTGACAGGCCAGAAAGCCGGCTCCATGCTGTCTCGTCACCTGGTGATGAGGGAGCATGGAGACGGTTTCCCTGCTAATCGGGAAGCCTGGTGGCGAGTTTTTACACGCCGCCTGGCTTCCTTAATGGGACTTCCGGTATCGGTATTGGCGAGTGCCGAAAAAAAATATTGGTACTCTTTAGTACATACTAGTTAGTTTTTGGTAGGGACAGGTTCACTTTATCAACTCTGAACATACACTTGAATGGGTGTCAGTCTTTCTCCTAGAAAAGTCTCACAAATGCATTCCTGAAACATATGCCCGTCTGCAAGACGCCTGTGATGGGATCCGCGTTTATCCTTTCAGCCGTATAACAAATTAACGCTCTCGGCCCCTCCGCAGTGACGTCAGTAGGAGACATTCGATACAACAGGAAGAGGAATCTTTGAAGGGTCGGGATGTGTGTACACAGTTTTATTCTCAGGGTGACGGTCCAGACGTGGCAGGTGTTTGCACAATTCTGCGTGTTTTATGGCACTCTAGGGAACACGCAGTTTCATGCTGGAATTTTACAATAACATAACTCTGAGTTAATGGACATGTAATTGTTTGCGCTTTGTATTGTTCTGTATGTTTGACCTTTCAGACACTTGCCTTATCTCCTGCGCTAAGTAAATGTAAACACAGCAGCTGCTTGGCCAATACCAGCCTACAATCCCTAAACCGTAGCGTATGTTCGGCGAGTACACATACTGGAATAGTTATGTAACATTTGCCTGCAATAAATAATTTTGTCAAGGAGGCTCTTCTCTGATCGTTGTCCATAGATAGTATTGCTGCCCCATGTACATATACTGTATACCAGGGGTAGCAACTAGGGACGCACCAATACTGCCTTTTCAGTATCAAGTACGAGTACCGATATTTTGCTTTACGGGACTCGTCGATGCCGTTGCTTCCACTGGCATGGAGCCGGCTTCCCAGGCAATCAGGAAACCGGGCGGCGGGTAAGGACATGGGAAGTCGGTTCCAATTGCGAGTGGCCGGGAAACCGGCTTCCCACCCAATCAGGAAACCGGGAGACGGGTCATTCCTGATTGCCCGGGAAGCCGGCTCCATGTTCCCCAACGGCACTGCCAGTCAAAGAAAATCTTCCTCTGACCGGAAGTTCCGGTATCGGGGAAGGTATCGGAGCGTTTGGGCGAGTACAAGTATCAAACAACAAATAGTTGCGCTAGGAGCAATATAGTGTCTAATAGTGTACCAGCTGCAACAATGTGTGGTGTGACCCGTGTGAATCTAAATGTCTAATATGTTGCACTAGGCCAGCATAATCATATTTTCATTTGTATTATATTTGATTATATTTAATAACTGATCCACGTATCACATTTTTGAATAGAGGAGAATTCATGTTGATTATCAGTTCACTCTGGCCTAGCGCAACATATTAGCCATTTAGAGTACAAGTATCGGTATCAGTGCATCCCTAGTAGCACCCTCAGTGCTTGTACTACTTTTTGCGATCACACTGGACCGGAACTTGGGCATTGCTGTATCACGCATTCTGGTGCGGTCGATCGCACTGCGGGCGTGGCTACGGTGCCATTGACTTGAATGCACTGTCACGTCCCCTCCCACCCCAGAACACAGGGAGCCGGACTGCATGTGATCCAGTGCGTGCCAGAAGCTAGCCTTGCTGGACCGCACTGGAAGTGGTGTGAACAAGCCCTTACGTCCCATGAGGCACTGCACAACTAACAGCCACTGGCATGAGTCCCAGAGGCATGATGGGTTTTTTTGTAGTTCCATCACAGCTAGAGTGCCTGATATTGCCTAGCTCTATTGTTTATAATGAACTAAACACAGAAGCTGAAATGTATAACTTGGTTACACTTTGATTTCATACTGACCTGCGTGGAAGTTCACCACATACATTTGTATCAATATTTTCTTTTTACTCGGTTGGAATTTTGATCACGTGTGGAAATATATGGATTTTGGGTCCTCAAGTCTCTGCCAGGTACACAAATTCAAATTGATTCTAGTGCTGCCACTCCTCCATCTGAGCATATCATAGATAAGCGGGTCTACTATAGCGGTGCTTACACAATGCAGTATGACCTTTCCTTGCCCGTCTTTGAGGAAGTAGTGCTCTCAGTCAATACATTATATTGATGGATTAGGTAAAGGCTATTAGGAGTGTATTTATAACCTTTTTCCAGAGCCATTCATCCTTCTAAATTGTATGCACAGTCGCTCTGTGCAAATGGAGGCAAAACAAATGTTATTAGCATATATTGAATAGAATATCAAGTAAATGCCACATTGTGACCACTAGATGGAGCTGAGGTGCACATGAGAAGTATTTATTTTCTATGCTCCTCAGTGCCCTCTAGTGACCATAATGTGGTATTTCGTGATTGGCTCTGCGAATTTATAATTTTATAAATACACTCCTAAGACTCTAATAGCTCTGCGACTTGTTTATAAATACATCTCATACGGTATTCAGAAAGCTCCTAGTTTGCATATTACTTTCTCCTATATTGTAAAAAGTGCTAGAGCTAGCTGAAGACATGCGATGGCGGCTAAACTTTCTAACTACGGAACCATCGTTCGTACAAAAGAATGTTCCCCTATCATGCGCACTCAGATCAGCCATATAAATGATAACTGCCTATTTTAGTGATCCCTTGTCCTGTTTGTCCTCTACAGTCTTGCCAGGTGGAACTTCTGATCGGGACATGTTTCCAGGCAATAAACAACCGCATCCAGCTCCAAATTCTCAAAGCTCAGAACCTACCCAGCTCACTAACGCCACTGTCTATAAGTAAGTATGTTTTACACGCCCTCTGTCTACCCCCATCTTTATCAACTACCCTCCACTTCCTGAAAGCAAACTTGATGCCCTCTTTCAGTACCACCTTTGATGAAGCTCGCTGCACTGGATTTACATGGGTCCTAGATACAGAACAACATCAAGGGTCCTATTTATAAAACGTTCACAAAGAGAACGTCTCCGCGAAAGGGATTCACAATGCATTGTGGTCAATAGATGGAGCATAGACATTTCCTATACTGATTGGCTCCATCTAGTGGCCATATCGCACAGTGAAACTCTTTAGCTGTAGGAACAATTCAACCTTACATTTAAAGCAGAAGCATTTTCACATTGGACTTCACCAGTTCAGCTCACCCTACTTCCCCCTCCCAACATTGACTTTGCAGCCTGCTAGGCGTTTAATATCTAATATTAACCAAGAACAGGTGCACAGTAAGAGGAGAGAGCAGAGTGCCAAGACCTGATTCTGAGGATGCATTTCTCCACAGTGCCTGCAGCTACAGAGGTTGGTGAAGGCTTCCTTAAAACTAATTTACTGCTTATTAAGAATGTGCAAATACCTGAACGTGCATAGCCTGGCCATGGGCTCACTTTAAGTAGAAAGTATAATTAAATAATAACTCCAGGGAAAGTTTTTCTTAACCCCTGCAGTGGGGCTACCCCCGCACTGTAAGGGTTAAGTGCTCGTTTTTGTCTAGGTTCATAAATAACAGTTATACTCACCCCAGCCTCCGAGCATACTTGTCCCTAGACCGGTACCTTCCGCCTGTCTCTGCTGAAGCGATGGTATGTCCCCTCGGCACCCCTTATGTCCTATACACACAGTGAAGAGAACATGATGACTCACTGGACCTTAGACCGCTGCAGTGGAGGAGCAGCGAGGCGGAAGGGACTGATCTAAGAGCAAGTCGGCTGCAAGGATCGGGCGAGTATGACTGTTATTTTGTGAACCTAGCAAAAGACGAGCAGTATTTCACGTTTGAACACAAATGACATACAACACGCGGAGAATTTTAGACCAGGGATAAACGTTGTAGCGAAAAGGGGAACCGTGTAACTGTATGAAAACCGTTCCAGCACCCACAATTGTAACCTCCACCGCTTTGCCTGCCCTTCCTTCAGGTTTCTACGTCAAGGCCGAAATGTTCAGTACAGAGGGTCTCCTGTACAAGAAGAAAACACGATCGGTAAAGCTGTCGAATGGACAGGTGAACTGGGGGGAGACCATGGTGTTCCCGCTAACGCAGAAAGAGCAAGGGATCAACTTTCTGATCAAACTGTACAGCCGGAGCTCCGTCAGAAGGAAACATTTCATTGGTCAGGTAATAATGGCAAAACAAGTTATCAACAGATTGCATCTCAGAGAGAGAGAAAACACTTACCTGATGAATAAGCCTCGAGGAGAGTCTCTGGAGGATTCTCTTCTACATCATAGTTACATAGTATTTGAGGTTGAATAAAGACATTAGTCCAACAAGTCCAAACTATTAGGATCTCATTCTAGGAGTACCTGTACCCCCGTATATTACCTGTACCCCCGTATATTACCTGTACCCCTGTATATTACCTGTACCCCTGTATATTACCTGTACCCCTGTATATTGCGGTCCCTTAAGAAATCGTCCAAAAGTTTCTTGAACAATTCCACATTCTTTGCTGAAATCACCGCCTGTGGCAGCGAGTTCCAGACCCTAACCGATCTTACTGTGAAGAACCCCCTTCGCCCCTTGTGCTGGAATTTTAGGTGGTGGCCTCTAGTTTTTGTAATGGAGTTAATTTTAAACAGTTTATCGCTAATGTTGCTACCACCATTGAACATTTTGTACATGGAGATCATATCCCCCCTTAATCTCCTCACCCGATAGATCTTTACGTAAAAGGTGCTTACAGACATTAGATGCACATCTGAAACTTAGAGGAAACACGCCATTGCTGAACCTCCTGCCTAACTGCCAACACTTTGACATTAATACGTTCAGAGTTCCTGACTGGAAGCCAATGTATGGTTCAGGAAGGTCAGAGAAAAAGAAGTTCTTACCTGCACACTTGCTTCTGGTCAGGAACTCAGCATGACATCCAGGCAACTTACATTTTTAGAAAGCAATGACAACAATGGCAGCCTCCATGTTTTTCTCATTCCTGTTGAAATAGAAATATGGGGGCCCCCCTTGCCGAAACTGATTTTGGTACTCAGGGCTCATCCACATCCTTGCTTAGTGAAGTCATTGACCTGGAAAAACTATGTGGCCAATAAAGCTGGGACTACCGACCTCCATACTTGTTTTGGGACAGTGACTGCCTAAGTAGTGAAGAATGACAGCTCCAGATCTTGGCCTGGCTTCACATCATCTATGAGTTGCGGTAATGCGTGGACGACCACGTTACTGCTAAAAGTGACATTAAACCCTCAGATTTTTTAACATAAAACAATACTGTAATGTGCGCCTTACTGTAATCCATGGTAGTTTCCCTTCTCTTTGCTGCTCTTCCTTTTAAATCCTCATGTCTTCTCATGCTGGGGTAGAACTTCTGTTTTGCAGCAGACTGCCTTGTCTCAGGAATGGATACATGGTGTCTGTGTGTAGGTTTGCAACCTGAGCCAGCGCTACAGGAAGAGGCACTCAGCTGCAAAGGGAAGTTCTCCCCCAGCATGAGAAGACATGAGGATTTAAAAGGAAGAGCAGCAAAGAGAAGGGAAACTACCATGGATTACAGTAAGGCGCACATTACAGTATTGGTTTATGTTAAAAATCTGAGGGTTTATTGTCACTTTAAGGCTTGGCTTTTTGTGCGGTGCCAGTTTACACCAAGTTCAAATTCATACGGCAAATTGTTTCGGATGCAAATACCTGAATGTGCATAGCCTGGCCACAAGTTCCTTGTAAGATGAAAATACTGTACAGCAGATAGAAGAGTGCAGAGCGATATTTTCCGACCAGCCTGCCCACTAGTTCAGGAAGTGTGACTGTGAACAACTAGAGGGGAACGCTTAAATGGCAATGCCCATGTGGTTGGACTAGAGCAGGGGTGTCAAACTCAAATTTAATCGTGGGCCGCGTCAACATTATGGTTGCCCTCAAAGGGCCTGTAAGACTATATAAATGTATCTAATGTTTATCATAATTGCCTCTGCATTCGATTATCACTGGTTTTAGTAATAACTTAAAGGAGAACTATGAGGGGGTGCTTTTCACTCACCTCATAGTTCTAGCCAACCTGGGACAGTGAGACTGTCACAGGTCGGCTCAGTAGATTGGGAGGTGAGAGAACACATACCGACGTTCGCTCACCTCTCGATCCTGTAACTGCTCTCTGCCATGACAGGGGAGGGGCTGGATTCCCCCCTCCCCGCTCCGATCCTCCAGCGCTGACTGGCAGAACGGACGGGGGAGGGGGCGGGTACAGTCACTCACGCAGCTGGGCGGATCCCGTCAGCTAAGTCGTGATCCGCTCCGGCTGCGGCGTCTCAGTATACACACGACCCTCGACAGCAGGACCTTTTGCCCCATTGAGAAGCATTGGAGAGCGATATCGCGCGGTAAATTACCGCGCGATAAATCGCTCAATGTGAACGGGGTCTTAGATGAGTGATTTCCACTCACCTCATAGTTCTAGCCGACCTGTGACAATGAGACTGTCACAGGTCGGCTCAGTAGATCGGGAGGTGAGCGAACACATACCGGGTTCGCTCACCTCTCGATCCTGTCACGGCTCTCTGCCGTGACAG